CCCCCCCACCAGAGCTGGGCTCGAGCTCCGGCACGTCCTGCAGCCGGAAGATCTCGGCCCCATGGGGCCTCCAAAGCCACCCCAGCCTGGTCATCCGCGACGCTGGTGGACCCGGTGGTGCAACGTGGGTGGAGGAGCTCCAGGGGTGGTGGGAAATCACCTCTGCGCTTCTTGGAGGGCCTCTTCCGCTGAGAGGAGAAGGAGGCTGGGGAGCAGCTCAAGACAATTAAGAGCCTGACGAGCAATTAAGGGCGGAGAAGCCCAGGAGCTGGGTCCTGATGAAAGGCAAGGCCGGGTTGGGGTGAATCATGGCTTGGAGATGCTGATCTCGCTCTCTGCTGGTGGTAAGAGGAAGCCTGGGGCTGGCTTTGGTCCTAAACCTGGAGGTGAAGCCAGAGATCCTGGAAGAGCAACTGTCCCAGCAGATCCCTGGAGATCTGGGCTGCGGGGATCCTCAATGAAGAGGCTGCGGCCTTGGGGAGCCAGGCTGGGGTGGCCTCGCCCATTGAGATCTCACTGGGGTTCCGTCCCCTGGAGATTCCCATCCCGTGGAAGCCCGGTCCATGGAGATCTAATCCACCATGGTGATCTCTTCCCATGGAGATCTGGTCCACAAAGATCCCATCCACCGGGATCCTGTCCACCAGGGTGATCTCCTCCCATGGAGATCTGGTCCACAAAGATCCCATCCACCGGGATCCTGTCCACCAGGGTGATCTCCTCCCATGGAGATCTGGTCCACAAAGATCCCATCCACCGGGATCCTGTCCACCAGGGTGATCTCCTCCCATGGAGATCTGGTCCACAAAGATCCCATCCACCGGGATCCTGTCCACCAGGGTGATCTCCTCCCATGGAGATCTGGTCCACAAAGATCCCATCCGCCGGGATCCTGCCCACCAGGATCCCAGCCCATGGAGGTCTGGTCCACAAAGATCCCATCCGTGGAGATCTGGTCAATGGAAATCCCATCCATGGAGGCCTGGTCCATGAAGATCTTGGCTACAGGGATCCTGTCTGTGGAGATCCTGTCCGTGAAGCTGCTGAGGTCATCCATGGATAGCCCCATCCATGGGGATCCCTTCTGGGCTGGGGAGATCCTGGTGGAGACATGTGGTGGGCAGAGATCTCATCCACTGGGAATGCCACCCGTGAAGGGATCGGACACTGTGACCCCGGGCCACAGAGGTCAATTCCACAAGGCTTCAAACTACGGGGATCCCATCCTTGGGGATCCCGTCTGTTGGGATCCACCCTGCAGACACCATTGGCCATGGAGATCTGGTCCGTAGAGATCCCATCCACGGGGATCCCGTCCACAGGGATCTGCTCTGTAGACATCCTTGGCCATGAAGATCCATGGGGATCCCATCCATGGGGATCCCTGGTCTCCTGGGGCCATGAGGGGACTGGGGGGAACCTCGCAAGGTGACACGGGGGCTCCTAAGGGGAACAGAGGTCCTGGGTGGGGACAGGGGACACATGAGGGGAGAGGAGAGCTTATGGGGGGGGGGGCCACGAGGTACCCATGGGGACATGAAGGGACATGGGGGGCATATGAGGGGACATGGGGGGTGCACATGAGGGGACACAGGAGCACACGAGGGGACACAGGGGCACATGAGGGGACAGGGAGCTCATGAGGGGACACGGGGGGCACATGAGGGGACACGGGGTGAAAGGGGGGGGACCAGGAG